GAGAGAGAGAGAGAGAGAGAGAGAGGGGTAATTGAAGGGAGGGAGAGAGAGGGGTAATTGAAGGGAGGGAGAGAGAGGGGTAATTGAAGGGAGGGAGAGAGAGAGAAAACGTATATGGCCCCGAAAGGGTGGTCACAACTAGCATGTATATATGATGTCCACTTCAACAATGTGCATGAGAGTGTCAGTGTACCATCATTGTGTGTGTGTCGGGGGGGGGGGGAGGAGTCACAAGCTTGGGAGGTGTGCGTGTTCATCTTTTCTTTGTTGTCTGGAATGAGTGAGTCACGAAATTTATCGAGCGGAATGCTCCCGTCTGCTCCAATGGGACACATGCATGCATGAATATGAATACATTGGTCTCCGACAGACAAGCACCATAAATCCAAACATAACACTATCACATTTCCAACACGATTCATCACACCACCATCACATTTTCATCACGATTTCCAACATAAAGTCCTGTGTTCAACTGTTGATAAACAGTTTACCAACACATAGTTCAACCTTTCAAACATAGTTCAACAGAATATAAATAGATTCTCAACAGTTTATCAACACAAAGTTCAACTGTTTATTCTGTCACTTCATGTGGACTACATAAGTCACGCACGTTGGTTTCCATCACTTCCTGTAAACCATGGTGCATGTGTCAGGATAAACAGTTGTAAAACAATTTTTAAACGGTTGTTCGGGGGTGAGGCCCCACGATCAAAAAAAAAAAAAACGGCGACAATTTTTCTGTTGTTGTAGTCGGGCTCGGCTGACGGGTGGTTGCGTTAGTGCAGTGGGCCGCACATCGTCGGGGCGCGTTAGCAGGGGAAAGTGCGGTGAAGAGGAGAGGATGCAGTCAGCGGGGAAGACGACGGAACCTGTCGGGGGTTCCGCGGCGGGTACGTGCGAAGCGGATGGGCAAACCCGACGGCACCAAGCAACGGGCAGGTAGCGTGACGGGCCGTACGGGATCTGAGAAGCGACGGGCAGTTGGGCACGTCGAACAGCACGCTGAACAGCGCTGTGCGATGACGGGCGGAGTGCAGAGGCTCGGTGAGCGAGGCAGCATCTACAGCGAAGGAAGGAGAGGTGGTCAGGCGGGGCGAGTAAGGGGTTAGTGCCGCTATTTGGGAGGCCATCAGGGAGTGGACTTCAGCAGTTTGGCTACGGACCCAGATCAAGCTGTCAGTTGCCTGCCATTGTGGGGTCCTCAGGCGAATCAAGGAAATCAAGGCCCTCTCCTGCGAGTCTGAGAGCACCTTCCTTGGATCTGAGAGTCTAAAAACCTCCTTTTTTTATCCTTCGTACTCTAAGTCTAGTCCCCTGGTTGAAAGAGGAAGGCGGCAGGCGGGATTGCAACCCGTAGGACCGCAGCAAGACTCTGTGGGGAGTCATCCCACCGATTGCGGGAGCTTTGCCGGAACTCATGAGGAGTTATGGAGGCAGGGAATTGACAGGTAACCTTTGCTTTCCCTTATAAACATAGTATAACCCCTATCTATGCACCTCCCCATGTATTGGTTGATTGGGCTGTATGCAACACTTACTTTGACTTTTTTTATTGACTTTCTGGATACAAAATCATACTAACTAAAGGAATGCATGTATAATGACAGTTTCAGTTTCTTTGATTGCCTGAAAGCAGATTGTCACAAGGGGTTGCATCATGGGGAAGGTTGGGAGCAAGGCAGTTTTGCTTGCGATTGAATGGGTCTTATAGGGTCAGACATTGTTTCTAAGATGAATGGCCTGACTGCTATGTTTTGTTTTGTTTTCTGAAGGACCAAGCATCGTTTCTAAGATGAATGGCTTGGTTGTTGTGTTTCTTTAATTGTGCCAGACATTGTTTCTAAGATGAATGGTCTGGCTACTTACTTCTGAGGGGTATTGTTTGCTTGACTTTTGAGGGTCAGACATTGTTTCTAAGTTGAATGGTTCGACCGCTATTTTACTTGGGTGGTTTCTGAACAGTCTCTGAGTCAGACCCAGGGTACTCTGTTTTTTTTGTGTGCTGAAAAAGGGAGAGCTGATCATTGTTTATAAGATGAATGACTCATCTTTCCTTGATTGTTTTTATTCTGAGGGAGGATTCAGGGTAAGAGGACTAGACATTGTTTCTAAGATGAATGGTCTAAGTCTGAGGCCTAAGGACCATAATGAGAACGAAGGAATAGGATTCTCTATAATGTTGTATATATATGTACTCATATACGAACAAGGCTAGTCAGACATTGTTTCTAAGATGAATGGTCTGACTATAGCCTTATCATAAGCAAAGAGAGTATAATTAAGAGTTATAACTGAAGGTAACCTGGGCAGGTTGAGCATTGTTTCTAAGATGAATGGCCCAACCCTATGCCCTCCTCTTGAAGACTAAGGT